TTCCCAACCATATGCAACACCGGTTATAGAGTTGACGGAGTTAGTCCGGAACTTGGGAGGTGTTAATGCAGCAATCGCATAATTCTCAGCTGTAATCTGCAGTTCGTCTTTGCCGATCTTGAGTAGCATTTATCTCATCCACATCCATTCCAACCGTGTGTACGGGTGGCGACATCATAACAATATGTATAATTTGGACCTGCGATAGTATAGACGACGAATAAATCGTATAGACGGCGAATAAATAGTATAGAAATCTCACAATCTACATGTAAACAGAATACACATGCCACAGTTTATATACTAGTCTATATATATGCCATGTATAGAATAATATCACAATCTTTCAAAACCGTACAAACCGAAGTAATACTATGTAGTTCAATGACATGCTGCAAACAAATAGACAACGTGTGAATAGGAAATATAGAATAGACTTATATCTAAGCGAAATTACGGTTCTATGATCAAGAAGAAGAGATACGAACAAGACAGAGTAGAAAGAGGCAAAAGATTAAGTTTGAGAGATAGCAAAATCAACAAAAACTAGTAGCCACCATTAACTTCTAACTAAGAAACCTCACGGTCTCCCCCAAATTTCTCTCTCTCTCATCACTTCTATGTGTGATTTCTTGTTTTCCCTTTTTACTCTGCACACATGCTTTCACCTTCATAATGATGGTTTCAAATACAAGTTGTATACATTAAGGATACATATATTTCGTCTTACAAATCTATGAGCCGAGAAGTTTGACATATTTACAAAAATATGTTCAGAGGCTTATCACAATTACTAACCTTCTGAAGAAATTGTCGACTTAAGTGGATCTAAAAATTGGATAGCATAAGGCAACACAGTTACAATAACCATGATTCCCCTCTTTTGATTGAACCCTAATTCAAAATCGTTTCCGATCCAGAAAGACTGAGATGTCAAAATCGCAATTGCTTTGGAGAATAAGAAGAAGGGTTAGGGAGAAAACGATTTACCAAATGGGAATCATGGTGAACAAGAAACTTTTCATGGTCGGGAGCCACAAAGCCGTCGGGGAGATCGGAAGGTAAGAATTGATTCCAGACATCGTCGGAATCTGCGGCGGATTTGAAGATCATGGAGACGGCCGATGATCGGCACACGTCACAAGGCGATGTGAGAGGAAGGATCTCGACGATGCAGTCTTGTGGCAGCGGATTCATTGCTACAAATTACTTTGCTTCTCACCAAGAAGAAGATCTTTTTGCTTCTTCAGTCGCCGGTCATTTTAGTAAGGCTAATTTCGACATTAATACATATATTACAGAGAATATTCTAACCAAAACTTTTTTTAGTCATTCAGCAAAGAAATTATCATACTGTTTGTTATTCACCTTAGAGCATCCGTAATGCAGAAATATTTAGGGGGTCTTAAAATTGAAATAATTAAAAAAGTATTTAATGAGATGAAATACAGATGAAACGGGTCTATACAAGGAAGCGGATGAAATGGGGTCTGTAGAACATGTGTCAATTTTTTATTGGATCGGCGTTAAAACACTCATATCTATTGGGGGAAAAAAATATCTCTCCCATTTCGTCTCTCTCGACGGCGATGGCGATAAAGATAATCGATGTCGCTGTTGTTGTCGCTGGAGCTTATCCCTTCCGATGGCGATTCCGTCGTCGTCG